GTTGCATTGGTGACGACACCTCAGAAATGTTATCGGATGTAAACGTTTTGTTTCCCGCCAATCCTGACACGTGCACTTCAAAGTGATCGTGTGTGTGATCGTCCTCATCCTCAAAGTCTAAAACAATATTTTGAGTAAATTTGTCAATAGTTGATACAATAGTGTCGGATAACTGACGAAACAGATCTTCATTGCCGTCAAACTTAGTGAATATTTCAGAAATTGTGTTGATAATGTACGCTGGCTGGTATACTTGGGATGTTTCGTTGTTTGATGTGGAATATTTTGTTTGGTTCGCGTAAATTGCGTCGTCATTATCGATAGAACTGGAAACTGTTGCATTTCGGGAAGAGGAATCTTCGTCGTTAATGACGGCTCTCTTCACAATCCGACCAGTGTGAACATCGCTGACATTCCCGTTACGAGATCTCTCGATGGTAGGTATATTAGTTAGATGTAAAAAATCGTTACCGTGCAACGAATTGGGAAACTGCGATGCCAACTGTTGTTGTTGCATTGGTGATGACACCTCGGAAATGTTGCCGGATGTAAATGTTTTGTTTTCCGCCGATTCTGACACGTGTACTGCAAAGTGGTCATGTGTGTGATCGTCATCGTCGAAGTTTAAAACAATATTTTGAGTAAATCTGTCAATAGTTGAAACAATAGTGTCGGATAACTGACGAAAAAGATCTTCATTGCCGTCAAACTTAGTAAATATTTCAGAAATTGTTTTGATAATGTACGCTGGCTGGTATACTTGGGATGTTTCGTTGTTTGATGTGGAATATTTTGTTTGGTTTGGGTAAATTGCGTCGTCATTGTCGATAGAACTGGGAACTGTTGGATTTCGGGGAGAGGAATCTTCGTCGTTAACGACTGCTCTTTTTACAATCCGGCCAGTGTGAACATCACTGACATTCCCATTACGAGATGTCTCGATAGTGGGTATATTAGTTAAATGTAAAAAATCGTTACCGTGCAACGAATTGGGAAACTGCGATGCCAACTGTCTTT